GTGCGTCTGAATTGTTCGCACTGTGTGCCCAGTGCCTTGGATAGAGTCTGGCACGGAGTAGCTGCCCAGTAAATATTTGTTCTGTGAATTAGTTCGTAGCCAAGACAGGATTGGAACTTGTATTCCTGAATCTCGGGCTACTGGGCTTTCCTGCATTTGCTGTCCCCAGACACAGCTCAGGGACCTCTGAAAGTTTGAACTCTGGCCTGGGGATTGGAAATAGCACCAAATGGTGGGAAGGGATAGGGGAGAAACTGCTGATGGAGCCTCTGCTTTAATTGCCTCAAGGCAGTTGACCATTTGTTGGAGTCAGATAAGCTGCTAAAGTAGGAGGTGTGTGTGTGTGTGTGTGTACCTGGGGTGGGGTGGTGCAGACACAGGGCAGAGGGGATTTCAGAGTGGGCTGGGTAGCTAAGTTTCATCTAGGCTGCTTCCATGGCCTCCGCTCCCCTCCCGTCTCCCTCAGATAAAACCACCAGCTGTTAGGGACACAGCTGTGGCTGACTCCTTCCAGGGAAGGAGAGAGAAAGACCCCATGGCTCCGAGTGCATTCCCAGGCTGGAGTTCAAAGCAGACCTGTGAAGTGAGGGGCTGCAGCAGAGAGAGCCGGGCAGGGGAGGTGAGAAGTCAGCCAGGACAGAGGCTCCCACTCCCACTTTGATGTCTCCAGCAAAACAGGGCTTCCGTCCAGCAAGTCTGGGTGGGGTCCCAGCAGAAGGTTTCAGCTTTACCCCTCATCCCAAATTCTTGGAGAGATCCAATTAACCCCCTTCCTGTCTTCCAAGTACGATGCTTATCCAGATTCCTGATCCCATCACGCACAAGCGAGCACACTCTTCCATACTCGTGAATGGTGTGCCCAGTGCACACTCATGCCCCGTGCAGATACAAGCAAGCACGCTTGAATGCATACACCGGACGCACCCTCACCTCTCCATGCAGTGCAAGCCCGGTCTGTTCATAAGCCCTTGCAGACTTCAAATTCAAGTGGCCTTTCTGCACATACTTGCATTCAGAGTGCACGCAGCCACACACATCACGGGCACAGGGCCACGCCAGTCTTGGCTTTCTAGGGACAAGCTTGGTAGTGGGGTGGATGACAGCTATTGAACCACTGACTCCAGAGGTCTCCCTATAGTCTGGGCTCTCCTTAGAGGACACTGCAGCAGGTCTGGGGTACTTTACTGCCAGGGCCTGCTCATCTCAGGCTCTTCACAATACCCTGAAGAAATCACCCAGGAGAGCAAGAAGTCCCCCGGGAAACATGCTTGGACCTCTCCAGGGCAGCCCTGCCCCAGGGACTTTGGCCCACGGTTCTGCCTTAGCTGCTGGTTTCCCAGACGGCTCGGAGTAGATTACTCTGGATCAATTTAGCACAAAGTTTCCCTTTACTAATGCAGTAGAATGACCCTGGAGTGAAGATGCCCATGTCACCAACTTCTCTTGCTGTAATTGAAGAGACATTTACCAGGGGCCTACTTGAGGGGCACAGAAATGAAGAGCAGGTCTCAGGCCCAGGTCTAGTGGACGTCTAGCACATGGTGACTTCTGAGCCTTGGGGCACGCAAGGTCAGCCTTCAGCTACTGGAACCCATCTTTCGTCCTCTGTGCTGAGTGGTGCACTGTGGGGCAGGGGCAGAGCAGAGCCAGGCTGGACCAGGAGTGAGGCTGGCTGATTTCTGTTCAAGCTGCCACTGCAGGGGACATTTAGGCCATCTGGCTCCAGCTGGCTCTAGGTTGCAGGCTGGGTCTTATCAGTACTCCACCTCCTCTGGTACCAATCAATCAGTGGTCTCCTCCCAGCCCAGGTCCCCATGCCCACCTCTTTCAATTAGCCTGGTCCTTTTGGTAAGATTAACTCTTCTTTACCCCCCTCTGGGGGGTAAAAGCCTGGAGGCCAGAGGATCAAATACCTGCATCCATATTCTTTCCCAGGGGGTCTCCAGGCTCCTGGTTTGGGATCCAAGTGGATCGGATGGGGACCAACTTCAGGGATACCTCCAGCTCACTTTCTCCCTGCCCTCTGTTGTCTAAGCTGCAGTGGTCACCTGTCTTTCTGAGAGAAGGAGGGAAGATCTGGGATGTTAGGCATCTCAGCCTCAGTCTTTACCCTGGAATGTCCAGAGCAGCTTTAAAAACAAACAAACCAAAAAACAAAACTCAAAACAGAGCCATCTATTATGACTTGGTCTGAGCCAAACTGACCCCTGCTTAACTCTTGGGTTCCTCCCGGTACATAAAGGAGCCTACCACGGAAGAAGTCTGACGTGGCTGCAGGTGGACCCCTTGTGCACAACCACGCCGTCAGATCACAGTGAAATCCCTCCCACCACTCTCCTTGGAACTGCTGTAAGCCAAACATGCAGAAGCAAGAAGGCCCGAGAAGTTCCTACCCTGTGTATGACAAGGTCGATGAAGCTCAGGCTCTGGGCCCTACTGTGTGTCCTGACTCCTGTTTTGTAGACACTGCCAAGATTCCAGAGGCAGGGTGCTGCTGTCTTTCTAGTGTCGCCAGGCAACCAGGAATTCTCTTTGGCTGGACCCTGTGGTTTCTGGATCAAGTCTGTGGCACTAACCTTAACGGTACCAACTCTTGCCTGGCAGGATTCTTACACCGTGTCTAATCACAGGTGGGAAGTGTCTATAAACACTGGGTTTTCATCTCACCCCAAAGAGCTTATTTTAAAGTAAATGAATGGTGTCCTGGCATTGTCCTTCATTTCTATAATGCCTAACTGGTGACAAACCCAACTTTAAAAGGGTTGGAGGTTTTTCTTTGGGAGTGTAGTGGATTAGTCTATGGGCTCCGGACAGCTGTGGTTCCAATTCTGGCTCTGATAGTGACCTTGACCAAGTCACTTCACCTCCCTGTGTCTCAGCCTCCTCATCTGGTAAACTGAGGTCAATGGGAGTCTCTATCTCCTACGGTGGCTGTGATGATTAAAAGAGAAGGGACACAGGTATGCAATGCTTGGAAGATTGCCTGTCCACAGCATGTGAGAGCCGCCATCTCCCTAAGAATCCCAGGCTCCCCATCCCACAGGGCCTCTGGGTTACCAGATGGCCCTCGGGGTCTTCCTCACCTTCTCCTCCGCCTTCTCCTCTGCATTTCTCCATCCACCCTGCGGTGTGTTTCCATTTATCTTTCTTTGCATTTTATGTTCCTTCCCCTACTGCCTGTCTCCCCTGTGGTTCTCCCACCTTCGATTTTGGCAAGCTCTTGTTCAAAGGCTACCACCTGGGGAGCCGAGTATGTGCTTCACCCATCTTGTATGTTTTGAAAAAAAAAAAAAACCAATTTAATTTCCAAATCTAGAAATTTCTCATAAAAATCCAGTATTAGATATTATCTTGAAAAAAAATCCTAAGGCATGGTCATGTTGGCTCCACGTGGCAACCAGAGGCTGAGCTGGGGCGGTCGCCTTCTTTTTCTTTATTTTTGGGGACCGGGTCTTGTTGTGATGCTCAGGCTCGCCTGGAACTCCTGGGCTCAAGTGATCCTTCTGCTGTGGCCTCCTGCTGGCTGGGACCGCAGAGGCCCCATCTCTACCACTCCTGATGGTTGCAAACTGGCTGTTTTACCCTTATCTCCTTTTGGTCTAGTCCTTGATCTGGGGGCCTGTGCTGTGGAAAGTTTTCTGACAAACTTTTTCTCCAGACAGTGGATTCAAGCTTTGCAAGTCCTTTGTCTTGGATGTGGCCAAGCCTCATCTCCTGATTTTGGTCAGTTTTACTTCTGCCCCAGTATATACATCTGTTTTTCCCAGTGCTAGGGATCAAACCCAGGGCCTTGCATGATAGGCACATGCTCTACCACTGAGCTACGTCCCCAGCCCTCCTACCCAACTTTAGGTGGCCTCTCCAACTCTTGGAGGCTGGTGGAGCTTATACTGCACACCCTTCCTTTCTTCCTGCCCAGAGATCCCAGAACAGCGATCAGATGCAGGAAAGGGAGTTTCTATGGGACTCTAACCACGACATACACTCAGTGGGGGCCTCCTGAGCCAGTTTTCTCTGCCTCCTCCTCTAGTTCAGCTTCCTGATCTTACACAGTCTCATAGGAAACTCCCCGTCTGTGCAAGGCAGGAAGAACCTGAAGACTGAAAAGTGTCCACGTTCTCGCCTCAGAGGAATTCATACACCTATTCTTCTAGACCCGGGCTCTTCTTTCCATCCACTCCCTAATTCCAGACCCTACATCTACTCACTCACTCAACAACCACCGAGTGATACCTTACATCATGTTCTGTGTGTGCTTGGAGAGGAAGAATAGCAAACCAGCTATGACAGAATTTACTCTGTGAGCTTCAGCAAGACCTTTACCTGGCCCAGCCTTAGTTTCCCCCATAGATTTAGTCACTTTACTTGAGATCATTTTGTCCTGGATTTCTTTCATCCTGTGACTCTGTCCTTGATCTTCTAAAACTTACTATGCCATCTGCCAACTTAAAACTCCCATTCAGAGAGAGGGCTGAAGCCAGGAGCGGGAGGAAGATGAAGGAGAGGGAGGTAGAGAGACCCAGTCCTAGTGTGAAGTGTGGTCTGGGGGGGGGGGCGGCAGGAGTGCAGGAAGGGAGCGGAGGGACAGACCCACTGGCCAGGAGGGCCTGCCAGATGCTGGGACTGTCCTGTGAAATCTCACACCCTCCTGGCCCCCTGCCTTTCTTGGCTCCAGGTCAGACTGGATTTCAGTCCGCATAATTTGTCCCATTTAGATGACAACAGGAGGGTGTAGAGGACTGAGAAGGGGGTGCCCTAAAGGGCAGGCATGAGGTGATGGCCAGAGCAAACTGGAGGGATGGAGTCTCCGGTGAAGGTGGGTGTCGCCCAGAGGGAGGGGGCGGGGCCAGGAGGAGCTGCAGCCCTGTAGAGCGAGGATAACAGTCCGCCCAGCACTGCAGGGGTCAATTCGGTCTACTGGCCCAGTGACACGAAGGGGGAAAAAAAAAAAAGTGGGCTGTAACTTAAAGATCTTAAGACTCACGAGTGAGGGGTTGGTCTGAGGGTGGGAGGAGGGAGTGATGGGTGGAGACAGCAGCCCAGGAGGGTGCAAGGAAGTATCTTAGCTGAGGCTGGAGAGAGTGGGGGGAAGTCTGCAGGGACAGACATCCTCCAGGGTCCAGAATCCAGAGCAGCTCCTTCTGCCTGCCGGGAAGGGCTCTGAGCATTGCTGCCCTTCTTGGCCACTGAGGCTCAAGCCACAAGCCCAGGGTGTTTGCTGTTGGTGACAGAGCCACCAAGCTGGTAGCTCTGGGACTCCCTGCCCATCTTCTTCTCCACTCCCCGGCATGGAGGAAGGTGGAGATTTCGACAACTATTATGGGGCAGACAACCAGTCTGAGTGTGAGTACACGGACTGGAAGTCTTCGGGGGCGCTCATCCCCGCCATCTACATGCTGGTCTTCCTCCTGGGCACCACGGGCAATGGCCTGGTGCTCTGGACGGTGTTTCGGAGCAGCCGGGAGAAGAGGCGCTCAGCTGACATCTTCATCGCCAGCCTGGCCGTGGCCGACCTGACCTTCGTGGTGACCTTGCCACTGTGGGCCACCTACACGTACCGGGAGTATGACTGGCCCTTTGGGACCTTCTCCTGCAAGCTCAGCAGCTACCTCATCTTTGTCAACATGTATGCCAGCGTCTTCTGTCTCACCGGCCTCAGCTTCGACCGCTACCTGGCCATCGTGAGGCCAGTGGCCAATGCCCGGCTGAGGCTGCGCGTCAGCGGAGCGGTGGCCACGGCCGTCCTGTGGGTGCTGGCCGCCCTCCTGGCTATGCCCGTCATGGTGTTCCGCTCCACCGGGGACTTGGAGAACAGCACCAAGGTGCAGTGCTACATGGACTACTCCATGGTGGCCACCTCGGGCTCCGAGTGGGCCTGGGAGGTGGGCCTGGGGGTGTCGTCCACCGCCGTGGGCTTCGTGGTGCCCTTCACCATCATGCTCACCTGCTACTTCTTCATCGCCCAGACCATTGCCGGCCACTTCCGTAAGGAGCGCATCGAGGGCCTGCGGAAGCGCCGCCGGCTGCTCAGCATCATCGTGGTCCTGGTGGTGACCTTCGCCCTGTGCTGGATGCCCTACCACCTGGTGAAGACGCTCTACATGCTGGGCAGCCTGCTGCACTGGCCCTGCGACTTCGACCTCTTCCTCATGAACGTCTTCCCCTACTGCACCTGCATCAGCTACGTCAACAGCTGCCTCAATCCCTTCCTCTACGCCTTCTTCGACCCTCGTTTCCGCCAGGCCTGCACCTCCATGCTCTGCTGGGGCCGCAGCACATGTGGGGCCAGCTCCCACAGCAGCAGCGGGGAGAAGTCCGCCAGCTACTCTTCGGGGCACAGCCAGGGTCCCAGCCCCATTGTGGGGAAGGGTGGAGAGCAGACACAAGAGAAATCCATCCCCTACAGCCAGGAGACTCTTGTGGTCGACTAGGGCTGGAACCAGAGAGAAGCTTGGCTCCCCTGGCCTGTCCCAACCTCTGCTCTTGCTCTCTGCAAATCAGGTAGCACCGCTGCACCTTCTCTTTGCACCTGCCCCCTGCCCTGACTCCATCTTGATCTCCTCTGCTTTCTTCATTCTTTCTTAGACCTTTGGGATTGAGCAGAAAGAGGCTTTGCTCTGCAGTCAGACCTGTGCTCTGCTACTTAGTACCTGTGAGATGGCCTCGCCCAAGGCTCACTTTCCCCTCTGTATCAATGGAGGAAAGTCATGCAGACCCTAAAACATTGATGTGTGAGAACGGATCCAAACTGTGCTTCCTTCCACCCTTTTCTGAGATCTTTGGCTTCTTTTCTCTCTCCTTCCTTTGAGTTTCCCTCTAACTCTGCAAGTTTTACTGTTAATCCTCATCTTCTAGCTGCAAGCTCTCTCCCCACATGGACTCCCCCCTTCTCAGTCCTTCCTTCATCCTCATTTACTTCCGTCCTGCAGGGCTCCCAAGGGTTAAGGATCCTGAAGCTTGCAGAGACTGACCCTGCCCATGCCCTTACCCTGTTTTCTGAAAGCCAGCTAAGGAGTGGGCCGGACCTATGATGAGCTGTGTGTCAGCAAAGAATTAACGCTCCAGTCGCCGGGGCCAGGAGCTCCGGGATGTTTCCCAAAACTGGATCAGTTCTCTGTCATTTCAGGCACCAGGGCCACCGTGATCCATGCAGAGAGCTTCCCTTCTTGCAGAGTCTCTGTGATACCGACCACAGATCCCCTAGATCCTTTCCTTCTTCCTCTGTAGTGGGTGAGAATTGGACAGCAATGGGCTGATGAAGCTGCGGAGTTTTACTACTTGGTTTTAGCACATGCATGGGGAGCTGGGAGGGGAGAATAGAGAAGAGGCGCTGAAGGGCTGTGTGTGTGTTGGTCTGTGTGCTGCTTGGCTTCCCCCTCCCCCAGTCCCCCTCCCTCCAGCCTCCTCTGGAACTGTGAACCGCAGGTCTCTCTCCCACCTCCCGCTCCCACCCCGTCATCTCCCCGATGTTTCTCCTGGGTGCTGGTGCCAAGAGTCACTTGGTTGGGGTGAGGATGCTTGCTTTTTGTCTGTGTGAATATATACATGAATACACATATCTCTATATGGATGAACATAACATGGTGAATGTTGTGGATGAATGAACTTGGATGGATCCCTGCTCCCTTCCCCTCTCCCCCACCACCATGTCTCTGCTTGTCACACTGTACCCTTGAAGGAAGAAGAGACACATGGAGGCAATATAGAATAAAAGTGAGTGCACCCCCCCACTGGATTTGGGGGCTCCAACGGCTGGTCCGTACTTTAAAAAGTCTATGTTTGACCTGGCTGTCTGCAGGGACATCCTTCCCAGGAGCATCTGGGGCCCAAGGCTCGGGGAAGGAAGTCCTACTGAGCTGGGTTTCCATTCCTGCTGTAATTCCATGGTGGGAAGAAGAGGCTGGTCAGAGCTTCCCCTGGCCCCTCCCCACACCTCCCCACCCCGTTTTGAGTTTATTTCTCTCATTTATCTTTCTTTTCCCCAGGGTCAGTGGTCCCCTTCCCAAGGAGGGGGTGAGAGGCACAGGGTGGGCTTTGTCTCCCGTCACCATCAGGACGGAATCTCCTGGCTTCTGAGACTGAGTTGGGGGCTGGGGACAGTGAGTAGAGCAGTCATAGAGGGGCTGGTGGCCTGGTATCCATAGGGACCTCAAGGACAAAATTAATCATGGGGCCTTTTCGAGCTGGAAATGGGGTGTGTGTATTCCGGGCTTTGTTCTTGAAGGACTCTGGAAATGAAGGACAAGATGTGGACAGAGACGGGAAGAGCCCAGCTTGGTCATCCCTGGGATGGAGGTGGCTCTGGGAACAGAGGGGGAACAGACGGGCACTGGCTCCTCTCAGCTTAGTCTCCCCAGAACGTCAGACCAGAACGTCCCACAGAGGCGGAGCGCCACCCTCAAGGCATCCAGTCAAGACTGGAGGAGGCTCTCGAAGGCCAGAGGGTGCCCCCGACTCTCCTGAGTGAACCGCAGGGACTTCCTGCCCGGCACTCAGGCCCCGTCTGGGACAGTGGCAGAGGAGGCTGCCTTCCCCCCCGCTCCCCTTCCGCAGAATGCCTGTGCTCCTCGTTGACCTTGTCAGTCACCGCGTTCATCAAATAAAACTGTTTTGTGTAACTGTGGTGTCCGGAGCCTCTTCTCACCCAGGTGTCTGGGGATGAGGGAGAGAAGCCAGTGGGTGGGGGTTTCAGCAGGAGGTGGAATGAGGCCAGGGGAGCAGAGGGAGCCACATGCGGAACGGGAGAGGAGGGGGGGTGTGAGCAGATTGTGATCAGACACCAGCGAGGGAAGGGATGAGGCGAGGAGAAGGAGATAAAGGAACGGGGAGCTGCCAGGCGCCGTGCTCTGAAAGCCAGAGAACACATGGACACACATTTGGGATCCAGAGCCCAGGTCTGGGGAAAAGTAGCCGCGTTGACTTGTTCACCATCCCTAGATGATTTCTGGGGAATGCCAGGCTGAGGGAGGCCTGCACCCTGATACATTCTTCCCAAATTAAAGTGGGCACAAAACACCAAAGAGTCAGAGAAAACTGGGCTCCGGGTGGTCAGTGACGGGGGAAGAAGAGGCTAAAATGATCCTGGGGGCGGGGGCGGGAAATGATCTGTCCCAAGATGTTCACCACCATCAGCAGAGACCTCCCGGGACCAGTCATGTATTAGGTGACACGAAAGCAATCGCCACAGTAGAGCTGATGGTAATGATGAGCTCACAGGAGCTCACAGGCACGGAGTTTTACCTCTGGGCTGAGCGTCTTCCAAGCATTACCTCATTTAACCCTTGGAGCCATCCTCTGTGAGGGGCAGTTCAGTCTACTTCTGATGAACAAGGAAGCTGAGGCGCAGAGATTCACTAGATCTCTTGATCAAGGTCACGTAATTCGTACATGGAAGAGCCAGGCCTGGGGCCAGGTGAATCTGTCCAAGTCCTAAGCCCACGCTCTGAACCATGGTACTGGCGCTTCTTCC